AATGCATACAGAATCCAATGGCACCTTCAGAATTCCTGAAAAGGTCTTCACCTATTTGTATGCCTCTATTTTAGGTGCTCAACTTGAGAAACTTTAAAGTGGCCTGATTTTCAGAAAGTGCTGACTGTCCATCAAAGCAGGCCCCTGCATAGGGTCTCAAGTTGAGTGCCAAAAATTGAGGGACCAAAAAAGACCAATCTTTTTAAAATGGATGTTCTGGGATTAACGTGCATGTATGCTCAATAGAAGCAGGAGAAACAGAAGAGATTTAGCTGGGAGTTTCAGTGAACTCTGAACCCAATATGATGTTATTGTGTCTGCCCTGCAGAACTTGTTATCCAGGGGCAGAGCACAGGTGGCACAAGAAGGTCAGATACTCTCTTCACTGTGCCCAGGGAATGGGATTTCCAGAGTGTAGGACTTTGCCCCCAGCTCCCTCTTGTATCTTCCTACCTCTGGCCCCAATATTCTTGGGCTGGACTCTGCTTATACTCACAATGTTTGAAGTTAATTAGGCAAACAAGCTGGTTTGAGAGGATTTTGTTTCAACTTCCTTCCGATTCTAAGATGAGCGGCTGGTGGTGAAGGCAGAGAGAATGGTCCGAGAGTAACATTTTCTGCAAGTGTTGCTGCATGGCCTTATCCTGTCCTATCACCCACTACTCCCATCTCAAAAAGCAGTGTGGTTTTGATACTTCCTTCCTTACCTAGATGCAGACCCAGCTGTCTCTGTGCCTGAATGTTCTATAAAAACATTTGTTGCTAAGGGCACACGGTTCTCAGAAAAAGCAAGCAAGCAATGTTTTTTTCATGTCATTGCTAAGCCTTGGCTGAAGGCTTGTGATATATGAATTATTTCTATTATTACGATGCCTAGGAGTTCTAGTCATGGACCAAGAGGCCATTGTGCTGGGCACTGTACAAAATGCAGAACAAAGACTGTCCCTACCTCAAAGAGTATACAAGCAACAGCAGATGGATACAGACAGATGGAGGACTACAAAGAAACAAGGAAAGAAGCAAAGATCATCTGTCAATATTATATCTAGGGAAAAACATTTTTCATCTGAGAAGAATGATATAGCAGGAAGTGTTTGAAGCAGCAAGTAATGAATTTATTCCAGCAAGATGAGATGAGCAAACTGCTCACCAAGTCCTGCAATCTTTGCTCAGTGAAAATTCCTTCTGCAGCCAATGTGGGGATCAGTGCTGCAAGCGCTCCATGGCCAGAAATCCCAGTATCTTTGATGTTCTGACTAGATAGAGATTATTGGAGCTAGACTGGATGCTTTGTTTTGCTACTTAAACTGAAAAGAAATGGAAAATATAAACTACTCCCAAAGAGAGTATATAAAAAAAAGAGAACTGCTCATAAAAGAAAAAGTTTGCCATACTAATGAGTTTTCAAATCCTGTTCCCTGCAAACACACAACATATCTACCCTGTCTACATACATTACCCCGGAATAGTTGCTGAGGTTGTGCGTAAAGTTGTATGTGTTATATGCTAAGGGAGAGGAGAAGGCTGGGTGCAGTCAGTTTCCTTATCAGTTACAGCAGAAGGAAGTAGTTTGTGAAGATGTAGAGTCTGTTGCTCCATGGAAACAGGCTGTTTGACACAATTAAGAGGTTTTCTGAAACTTGGTATTTCCTTGCTTTTTAGAGCTTGTGTTAGGGAGGATGTCAGACATATCCAACCCGAATCCCTTTTAAACAAGGATATTGCTTGTGGGATTCTAAAAAGGGCAAGTGTCAAATCTACACAAAAATCAGAGAACTGCAAACTCGTGCTTGCAGAAAAGGAAGGTTGAAAATATTAATGCTTTCCGGCATCCTCCTTCCCACTTCCCCACTGTAGCAGGGTGGTTGGCTGGGTGTCCATGGCTTCAAATGACTCCATTTTCTAATTTTTCAGATAAAGTAATATTAATTATCCTAAGTTACTATTTGACACTTGCTTACAAAATGATAGGTCACCATGGCACTTTGCATAGTGAGTAAGGACACAATCCTTTCCCTGAATTATTTCTAGTTTCACTGAGTAGTGCAAGACACTATGTTGTGGGGCCAGGATGGGGGGAAAGAGAGGCAAGGAGGATAGAAAAAGCAATACTGAGAATAAGATTAACATTGCTTGGGTGGTACTGGATGCAATATGTTAGTTCAATTTTTTTTTAATAGGACAGTGCTTGATAGCTTGCATTTATTTCAGTTAACCTAACCTAACCGAACAAAACACTTAAGCATGTGATTGGTTTTAGTGCAACTACTCCAGTGCATAAAATGAGGCCTGTGTAGAAGTCTTTACAGAATCAGGACCATAGAGATGGACATATTTCCTGCCCCAAAGAGCTCACATATTTAATGTTATTGCTTATTTTAGAAGGAATTAGAGGGTCCTACTTTGAGGAAAAACAGAGAAAGAGGAAAATAAAAATAGTCAACTTAATTTTACACCGTAGCCATAATCAAAGAATTTGACATATGAAAGATGCCAAAGTCACTGATCTGTTTAAGGCCTGTGGTGTAATTGTACAGTAAGAAAAGATGCTACCATATTAGAGAAGTCAGAAGGGTTGTTGTTTTTGTCAGGGACCAACCAAACAGGGTCTTGACTTTTTACAGTCAAATATTTTATTTCCATAATTGTTATAGCTGACACACCTACATGAAATAGAAGTAGGTTGGATGTTTTTAATTATGTCGAAATTCAAGTCTCAGAAAGTGTTTTCAGCATTTGTGGGACTTTCCTAAGGTTATTTCCTGACCAAAGGCATAAGGGGAATTAAAAATAAGACCATGACTCATCACAACTGTACAACTGTCTTTAAAACAAAATAAAATATTCAAGGGCAGGTTCACTACTGACGTTAGCTAGCACAGCTCTGTTGACTTTAGCAGAGTTGCATCTGCTTACATTGGTGGTGAATTTGGCCCTGAGTCTCAGGGTACCTCTTGCAAAGGCAGCGAGTAAAAATTACTCTCTTGGCTTCCATGGATTCTAGGGTTATTGTTTACTTTACATCATGAGCAATATTTGCATATCTTCTCCCAGGTAAAATGTCACTCATGTGACCCATCCCTAATGCTGCACACATGCACTACTGAAAAATTACATAAGTCATAGTGTCTCAGCCCCCAAAATATTGAATATATATGAATATTTTTGGCACAGCCTGCAAATGCTGGACATAACATAGGCCAGATTATCCTGTCTGCTTCTGCTCGTGGAAGGGATCCCGATTAGGTGAATCTGGCTGAAAAGGGACAGGATAAGAAGAATCAGGAGTGATTATTCGACAGTGTGAGGACCTGCTCCCCCTCTGGTGAACTGCTCCCACATACATACTTGGCAACTATGCACTGTGAGCAGGGAAGGGGTAGAACTCAAGGTACCTCCATGTAATCTGGGTCAACAGTTCTCAACTAGGGGTCCGAAGCCACCTGGGGGCCACGAGAAGGTTTCAGGGGGGTCCACCAAGCAGGACTGGTATTAGACTCACTGGGGCCCAGGGCAGAAAGCTGAAGTCCTGACACCCAGGGCTGAAGGCTAAGCCTGAGCATCTTAGCTTTGTGGGGCCCCAAGCAATTGCCCTGCTTGCTAATCCCTAAGGCCAGACCTGGTTTTTATAGGCAGAAAAACAGTTGTTGTGGCACAGGTGGGCCATGGAGTTTTTATAGTATATTGGGGGGAGAGGAAAAGGTTGAGAACCCCTGGTCTATCAGATACCTTTGCTGCCGCCATCCAGTATTCACTTCTTGTCTTTTTAAGATTTCAAGTTAAAAGGTTTTAACCCTTTCTCCCCAGGAACTGGAAACCCAGAGATACACTCTTGCATGTGGTAATTATTAGGTAGCATCCCTTCAAAGAGTGGTAGTCGGGTTGGTGTCTAAATACAGATTTATCAGATTTAGTCAGTTAGTGAAAAATAAAAGTAACTTATTTATTACAATAAGAACAAATGTAACCTAGAATGAAACTAGGAGCATTAGAGAAATAGTTGTATACACAGAAATTGCTGATCTTACTTTGTAAGTCTGTCTTGGAGCATCTTAATTATTTCTAAATATACATACATATTGTGCTGTGACCTGTGCATGTCCAGCATCATCTCTCCGCCCTCCCCCCTCCCCCCGACCTCCAGACCCTGCTTCTGGGTCACTGGAATGTCTTTGGAGGGGTAGAGATTCCTTAGAGAAAGTGAGCACTCCCAAAGCCCACCTCGATCTATTATGTGGGAAGCTTCTGGAGCGAACTGCAATCTGAGCACTGTGCAGACTTTTCGGGTTCCCTCCTTGGAGCTCTACTAACCCTTCCTCAGGTAGCCCCTACCCCCAGGCAAGTCCAGCCAGACCTTCTTTCTGACCCTCTGGCTCCCTGTTCCCTATGATGCCCCATCACCATTCCCAAATCTACCTCTTTTGAGATTCACTCTCCAGCTCTCACCTCGACCACCCCTGCCAGAGGCTCCCCCACCTTTTGTGATATCACCAGCCTCAGCAGTTCCTTCATTCAGCCCCTACTTCCCCTGGTCCATTGAAAGCCCCTCCAAGACTCCACCACTCTGCCCCAGGGGCCCCTCCACAAGTTTCTCTGCAGAAGCATTTGCTGTTCACCTTTTCATGGATCGCCCAAGTGAAATAATGCTTACCCAATCAGCATTATGTTACATGGCATCCCATTCTGATGTGCGCTCCCTCCCAACGTTTCAATTTTTTTGGCCATTTTGTTTTTGACAATAAAAATATTATAGTGCATTGGGCATAGAGATAAGAATAGATATCAACCACCCGAGTGATGCAGCAGAATATGCTACGCTGCATACATAGATTTTATTTACCCGAAAGGAAGGGGAAGGAAACTAAAATTTTAAAAAAGAAAAGAAAAATCAAATAAGTGAAAAAAACAATTAAAGCAGCATTGAACAAAAAGAAGAGGAGATAGGTATTAAGGAAATCATTTTTGTATAAGAGATTTTTTTGTTTGTTTATTTTAAACAGAATTCTAAGTAAGTTAAGTCAAGAAATCAATAGGAACGAGGGAAGAATAAGTTTCTTCCCAAAACGGTAAGTAAACCTTTCAGTCCTCTTTTTCTTTTGCAAACTATTAAGACAAAACTTTTCAGAATGATTTTCCATTTGAGCTAACAGAAGATCTCCAGTGTTATTTAATAGCAAAATCAGTCTCAGAAAACATGATAAAAAGGAATTTCAATTTCTTTCTACTGTTATTCATTTTAGTACAGTACAACCCATTAAGAGCCCAAACCTACAAGGACTTTCAGATTGAGTAATCCAATTGAGCTCAGTCACTACTCATGTGAGCAAATTTACTCATGTGCATGAGTGTTTATAACACTGGGCCATATTTTGGCAAGTTAAGCTAATTACAATTATTTATTGCTGTTTATAGTGCTAATATTAATGTAAATATCCTATCAGAGGTGTGCTTTAAAGACAAATTGTAATGAATAAAACAAAATAAAAATTATAATACATTGGAATATACGAGTAAATGTATATCAGTATACTATATTTCAGGTGGATAAAATTAAGAAAACCTTAATAGGAGATGTCTCTAGAGGATGTTGATATTACATCTTTGGTAAGAAAAGGCATGAGACTGCTTTAGATTTATTTTAAATATTTTTGAATGAGCATCAGCAGGTTCACAAATTAGCAAAGTTATTAATATAGTGAGGGTCTGTGTTCTTATTTAATAAAATATGGACTCTCTCATTCATTACTGCTTGAGAGTTTTCTAAGCTGCTCAGGTGATTTAATAGATAATTTTTAATAGATAATTTGTCAAAATGTTCTACAGAGCTCTGAAAAATATCTCAGCTACTATGATAAATTTGGCTGAATTTCTCTCTGAATTTTATTTTTCAAGTCACCAGTCCCTAAACATCCATGATGGGATTCTTGGGATGGAGAGTTCAAGAAAAGGTTCTTAATGGGTCATTTGGGGAACCTTTTGTACTGGAGTCACCATAAAGAAAGGAGTATTATGAAAACACAACTGCCATGCTACAATAGCTAAAATAGTAGCTCCAGACTTCACAATGGACCCTTTAATCCCCAAACTAACCCCTTCAGCCCTACATGTGGGTGTCTCCCTCCTGCTCCCCAGCTGATGAGAGTAGCCCCTGACATTGAGCCCTCTTAGACAGTACAGATTTTATAAATGCAGTAGGCACCACAATATAAACATAAACCACTATTAACTAAATTATTTATCCTATAAACCTTGGTTGAAATTAGCAAAATGCACTGGTCCTTGCCAAAACCCACAGATTAACACACATTTGGAGTCCCTGGCTTCCCATTGCCCTACGCCTTTTGTAGTCATTGCCACCAGGACCAACTCCAGGGTTTTTGCCGCCCCAAGCGAAAAAAAAAAAAAAAGCCGCGATCGCAACAGCGATAGGCGGCATTCCAGCGGCAGCTCCACCGCGCCGCTTTCTTCTTCGGCGGGAATTCGGCGGCAGGTGCTTCCCTCCGAGAGGGACCTGCCACCGAATTGCCGCGGAACAGCCCGACTGCCGTCCCTTCCCCTTGGCTGCCCCAAGCACCTGCTTGCTGGGCTGGTGCCTGGAGCCAGCCCTGATTGCCACTGGTGCAAAATGACTTTAGAGCATCACCATCATGATCTGGGTAGCATGGTTTTACAACCACTTTGCACATGTGTAATTAACTACTTGTGCAATTGACCACATGTGCAAGGCTGTGGAGTTTTTAGGCCAAACTTGATCAAAATTAAGTATAACCAGAATAGGCCCCACTCCTGAAAGCACTTACGTACTTAACTGTATGACAGTGAATATTTCCCACTGACTTTAATGGGCCACATAGATGAAGGCTCAGAAAATGAGATGAGATGCCAAACTTCTCAAACATTTCACACACACACACACACACATACAACACACACACACACACACACACACACACACACTAATGTGCCTCCAATTTATTTCAAAATAATCTAGCCTGGATTAGGATCAGCTTTATGAAACTTCAGGCAGTTTATTTTTTAGCTTTTTGGCAAAAGTTAGTAGGGAAGAGGGTCAAAATCAAGTTCACTTGTATAATGGAAGACTATTTTCAACTCTAATTATGCTATAGCTTTTACTAAAAGTAGACATATTTAGTTCATAATCATTAAAATGTGAAAAAAATTTGTAATGTCATCACAGGACCCAGACGCAGAAGTTTGCTGACAATACAGGTAAATATGTACTTGCTATCTAAATACACATAGTATTTGAAAAGATTAAAATATTAATTAGCTGCTTGCACAGTTTATTTACAGTAATTGCCATCCAACTGTCTTCATTCAAAAATTCTCTTATAAATATTTATGCTCATAGATCTCATCTACCTTGAGTTTAGCTCTACATTGGATAATACATCTGTCCAAGAACTTCCAGGATTAATTGCAATTTAATGAGCTAAATTATTGTTGATATTAGAGATGAGTATGAAGGAAAACCTCAGATCCAAACACACCCAAATGCTGGAGGCTATTGTAGATGGTGCCTTTAACAGACTTGGGAGTAGCACATGCCAGCAGGATGTGGGTGGGGTGTGTGCAGAGTGATGCAATCTCATGTTAGAACTGCTTGGGTTGTGTCTGTTACCAAATAAGGAACATTACACTAGTTGATACCTTAATTCAATAAGGTTCTTAGACTGAGTAAAACAAGGTTCTGTAAACAGGTACAGCTGGGCCAGAAAAGTCCTTGGATATGTTTTCTTGGCAAGGGGATGCTCCAAATTTCCCCTTGCCTACCTCGGATGCTGGGAGCGCTTTTCATGCTGGCCCCCCACCACCATACCTGCAGTGCTCATTAGGGAAAGGAGGAGAGAATGACAACAAAAGGGGGAGAAAAAGCAGACAGTGAGGAAAGAAGAAGAGGAAGGGGTAAAAGGCAGAGAAGGAGGGAAGTAGAATAGCAGAAGGTGAGGAGAAGGGAAGATGAGTGGGCCCAGAGCAAGAGGAGAAAGACAGGAAGTCAAGAGAGCACAAGGGGTGAGAGGGAATGAAAGGAGAAACATCAAGCTGGAGAGCTAACAAAAAGATGTTTTAATAGCAGGGATGGAGGAACAATGGGGGGGGAAGAAAAATGGAGAGAGAGAGATGCAATCTGGGAGCATTCATGTGACTATTGAACCTCTAAGGCACAATGTCCTCCTCTCTTTGCAGCTAGACTTCATTAGGGGCTAAGCAGCTTCCACATGGCTTCCCTGCACTGAGCTTCCATTTTAAACATTTTACTAGCTGGGCCAAGAGCACCTGTACTTCCACGGGTTACTACTCCCCCATTGGTCCTATTGAAAATGGGTTAAAAAGGACACATAACTAGAACGGAGCCAATAATGGATTGTTTGGTTCAGGGACCAAACTGAAAAAATTCTGGAAAAAACTCCATTCAGATTTGAACTGAAACTAAATTTTTCTTCAAAATTTTTGTTGAATAAAAAAGTCAAAATTCATTTTGTTGACACAAAACAATTTTCTTGAAGTTTCTTTCCCTTCAGCAAAAACTATTTGCAGATTGGACCTGAATACACAAATATATACAGAGACCCCCCAAAATGCTTTTCAGTTGAAAAAAATAGTATTTGAAAAAAAAAATTCCCAGCTCTGCACTCAACTTTCCATATTAGCAACAAGATAAAGCATGGGATGAGACTCGGTTAACAGCTGAGTCAGTTCTGAATGCTTTATTCTTCAACTAGCATTTAAATCTTGAAGGGTAGGACACATCTCAGGCCTGGTCTACACTGCCAAGTTTTTTTTGCCAAAAGGCAGCTTTTGGTCATGAAACAGCAGAGGTGTACACATTTTGAGAGGAAACTCCTGTTAAAGCGCTATAATAAAACCCCCTCGACGAGCATGTGCAAAGATTTTATCCCCAAAGTTCCAGTGTAAACACCTTGCTTGCTTTTATCACTGTAATTGACCTCTGGAGGTGTTCCACAATGCCTGCAGTGACCGCTCTGCTCATTGTTTTGAACTCAGCAGCCATGAAGGCATGTGCCCCTCCCCTTTCAAAGCTCCATTCTGACAGCTGGTGTGCTGTGATGCTCTGCTGCAGGACACAAAGCAAATGATTAACATGGAATGCTCCTGCTGTCTCCCCCACTAAGAACACAATGGCAGGCAGGCAGGCAGGCAGTGTGTGTGACAGACACACACATACTATGTGCTGTGCAGAGCCAGGGAGGGAGGTGGGGGCTGATGTCAGGGTTTTCCCCTCCCCCTGCCTCAGAACAGGTTGCTTTCGACAGCTGTCTGAACTTAGGAGACAGCATGCTGACACAAAGAACAGGAGTACTTGTGGCACCTTAGAGACTAACACACTCACTCTCCGGCAACATACACTGTCTGTCTCCCTTCCCGTCCCCTCCATACTCTCACACTCCCTGTCACACACTCTCCCCCACACACTTCAGTTGAAAAGCATCTAGCAATCTAGTAAGATGCCCATGGAACAATGGGATTGAGAAACCTGCATTATGTGTCGCTGTACCTGCCACATGAGGCATTGCAAACCCTTCCCAAAGCACCCTGTGACCAGATGCACAGTGGGATAGCTACCACGGTGCATTGCTTTCTGTGTCATTGCAAGAGCTGCTACTGTGGATGCACTCCAGTGACCCAAGGAGCATAGCAAGGACATGTAACAGTGGTTTAATTAAAGCGCTTTAATATAAGTGGTATAACTTTTGGCGAAAAAACTTGGCAGTGTAGACATAGTCTCAGTCACAGCAGAAATCATGACACACAAGGGATGTTCAACTAATACCCTTCAACCAGAAGGTAACTGCAAATATGTGCACATAATTCCTGTTGGCTGCCATGGGAGCTGGACACATCCCTCTCCTTGGGCAAACTTGGGTCTGTTATTTTGATTCTCTAATGGTCGCTATTTGTGAAACTTAGTGCCTTTTTACCTGATGAGGCTTTGGTACTCTGAAGCCAACATGTGCTAACAGGTCCACGGTTATGTTTTCTTACACAGGATGCTGTCAAGAAGAGGAAGAAGGCTGGTCTTCATTTGTAAGAATCATGTTTTAGATCACTTAACACTCAAAGCAGATTCTCTGTTCCCTTAAGCTCCATCAATTCCTGTGCTATACACTCCCAACAGAAGGGGAAAGAAGAGAATGTGCTGGGAGTTTCAAAAGCACTTAGTGCTGGCCTAATTCTACACCCTTGAAGTCAATGGGAGTTTTATCATGGACTTCAGTGGGAGCAGAGTTAGCCCAGTTCTCAGCATTTTTGAAACTTCCATCCTCTAGGTTGGTGAGAAATTACACTGAATATTACACCATTTACAGATCAGTGACAAGTTCCAGATCAGGGACAGCACATCCCTGCGGCCCCTTTGCCTGCAGGTGCCACTCCCCACAGCTCCCATTGGCTGGGAACAGAGAACCCTGGCTACTGGGAGCTGCTGGGGGCAGTGCCTGTGGATGGTCGACGTCAGCAAAATGTCTCACGGCCCACAATCAGATTACCCTGATGGGTTGCATGTGGCCCGCAGGCCGCAGGTTGCCCATCACTGTCCTATCAGATCTCACAAACTATACCTATTTGGGCTGGGTCAGAACCACATAATTGCCTGCATTAGGGGCTACAAAGCCCCTAACAAAGACCTGCTTTCGCAGGAAGGAGCATTAAGGAAGAGTGCACCACTGAATGATTGCCCCAGCTTGGTGCTAGGAGGCACCTTTTAACATCGGTTGGATGAGATATAAAACTGAGGTCCTCTACATCCCCTGTGACTTTCTTTAATCTTAGTGGCTTGGGAGATGGGTCTGGTATGAGAGCCTAGAGAGAGAAAAAAAAATCAACTAAGTAACTTTCTCTCTTGTTAAGTTTCCTCTGGAGTTCCTATTGTAAAAGGATATTCATTTCCTATCCTAAACTGCTGTGCAGTGTTATGCTCTGTGTAAATGTTGACACACTCTATCACTTCATTTGATGAAGGGATGAAACAATCCCTGAGCGCCGGTGGTAAAATTTGGTATCCTGCACGATGAAAGACACTACCATATAAAAACACAAGCTCACTGCATTAAGTTATGTAGTATATAATCATTGTCTGTTTTTCACTTGCATATGGCAGGAAGAAGATGATTATGAAAGCCCAGATGAGGAACAGGAACAAGACGCCGACTATGAATCACCAACTGATGAACCAGGACATGACAGTGATGATTATGAACCTCCTCCATCCAACAATGACGTAGCACCCCATAATGTCATATTTCCTGCCAAGTCAATTCCAAGCAACACTGAGTACATAGGTAACTAGTGCAAAATGTAATTTTGGAAGGGATGGGATATTTTAGGGAATTGGTAATAGAATGTAGAGCCTTTCACTACACCTGTTTGTGGATTTTCTAAATGTCTTTTTATTGAAAAATACAAATTTGTGGAAACTCTGGGATGTCTTCTGAGACTGGCAACTAAGAGAAAAAGCATTAAACTTCTGGTCTTACCACACTGATGTTTAGGCATATTGAAGGGACAGCTTAGGAGTTCACTTTGCTGGATAGAGGCCTTATTAGTTGTAGGCAAAGCAATTAAGCCCATGAGCAGTCTTAATGAATATACATGTTAAGTTAAGCACATGCTAAAAAATGAGTCATAGAAAGAGAGATGCCAGAAGGTTTGTTTCTCTTTAAAACAAACAAGCAAACAAACAAAACAAACAAACAAACAGGTCACTGAATTTTGCCCTGGTCTTCAGTAGGATCAAGGCTGGGACTTTAGTCTGGGATCTGCATCAAGATAAACACACATTTCCCCCCATTTAGTATGGTGTTACACTATGTAACTAGTGCAAGATACAGTGAAAATAGGTGTAAGTATTATAAGTTTATATCACTTCTGTGTGGAGTTGACTTGGTACCAGAGCATATCATGCATACATTTGTCATTTTCTAGTTCTGATTCTCCATTGGCCTACACCTGTGAGGTCATTTACTTCAGTGCAAAACACTACCATCTGGACTGGTGTATTTTATACTTACTTTGCAGTGGTGTGAATGAATACATAAAGTGCAGGCCAACAGAGAACTGAGCCCGGTATGTGTGTGCGCAATACCAGAGTGACATTCAAGTCGTCAGGCATAAAAAGGACACAGAAAGTAAAACAACCTTTGCCAGAGTCACTATGGATTTACAGAGATGTAACACAGCAAAATTGGATTCTTCATGTAATGTAAAATTACATAACCATAAACTAAACTTAAGAATGAAGATCTAATGAGAGAGAAAGAAAATAACCTTTTTTGTGTGTTTAACTGTTCAGTTTGTGATTTTTATTTTTATTTTTTTAGATAGACCCACAACTGCTAGACCATCTCCCCAGCCTCCTATTCCACCACAGCGACCTGGCCCATCCCCTGTACCAGCAGCATATCCGGGTAGAGTCACTCCTGTATGTTTCTTTTCTTAAACAATACTTCATTTGTTTCCTTTGCATTATCTCCTAGAAGGCCCAAGTATAATTCCATGTCCAACATAATGATTGTGTGTTTAGAAAGAGGAGGAAAATTATTTTGGCTGTAAGAATAATTATTTTTTGCTAAAATGATTAATTCTTTTTTGTGAAACAAATATACGGAAATTGTTTCATACTGCAATGTTGCCATATATACTGGCAATTAGTGACCATTAGCCAATTCTCAAGAAAATTGTAGCTTTTGAACATCTTGCTTAGCAGTACTCCAGCTTTCCCCAAGAGGGCTTGATCTTGAAAACCCTCACTTCCATTGGCCGTCCCATTGAATTTGGCAGCACTCCATGGAGGGGGAAGGGTTTACAGGACCTGGCGCTGAATGAGATGGAAAGGTAGGAGTACTGAACTGACTCACCAAAGGCAACAAGCAAAGTTGAGGTTAAAGAAGTGTCATTGCCCTCCCCTGCTGAAGGCTGGACAATTTTCTTAGATACATTCAGAATTTGTCAACATCCACTGGGTTAACAGAACTACCCTTTCCCTAATTTGGCAGATTAAGGCTTTGATCATCATCTTGCAAGCACTGAGCTGGTTATACAAACTCTCTGTATTCCAGCACAAATGTGCATGAAAGTTATACAGGGATACAAGTAAAGCTAATCAGTAAGCACCAAACTCCCTACTGAGTGGTATGAAGTCTTCTGTACCTCTCGCCTCCATTACTTGGAAGACCATATAATGAAACTCCGGCAAGAATAGGTGTGTCTGAAGAAACACAGGCTTAAGTGCAATCACCTTCATCGTTTTCATGAGATACTCAGCAACACATTCCTCTCTTTGGTCTCAGTCCTGCCACTAGGAACTTGACAGCCCCTGACACAGCAGCTCTCTCCTTAATGCAAGACTAGGCTCCCGTGCTCTCCTTGGTCTGCTCATCCCTTTTGACCTTGAATTTATATGCACAAAACTCTGCATCAGGAGTTAAGCAAGACTATTCTAGCTACTCCTCCCTCCTGCCCCTGACATGCTCCCAACCCGCCCTGGAATGAACTCTGCACTAAGGGTTTCCTGCAAAGGGGCAGAGAGATGACAGAGCCAATGCTGCAGTTGCCAGAAAAGGCCTTTTACCTGGATAGAATTCTGCAATGGGTGTGTGGGGGGGAGGCGGGGGGAGACACCCTAATGAATGGCTCTTTGAGCTCTAACAGATGCACAGGTTGACAGCTGTGGCAAGGTGATTTTGGTGATGTATTCAATGGCCACAGAGGATAAGATGAAAATCCTTGAACTCTGTACATGTAGAGAAGACTTTAATCATTTGAAAAAACATTTGTTTTAGATGTCACCTTATCCTCCTCCATCAAGCAATAATGATGTGAATAGAGATAAAAGTGCCAAGCCTTTAAAACGTAAGTGAAAATATTTGTCTGGGTTTTTTTAAGCTATGGCATAATGCATATTTTCATGGTCTCCAGCTAGAGCTGTGTTAGTGTCTCTATCCCACTGTGATGGGGTGCTCTACTCACCGCTGGATGGCACCGCCTCCTGGTAGTGCTGGGAATTTGTTCTGCCAGGCCGATGCCCCTTCTGCAGTTGTACTCTGTGTCTCTTAGCCTGCAGCCCCTCTCTGGCTCCAGGAGCTCCTGCTTATTCTTCTGGGGTATCAAAGTCTTCTAGCACAAATTGCCCCAGGCAGATCGCTCTTCACTGCCTGGTCTGTGCCACTTCCCCCGTGGCTGGGAGGGGAACCCAATCCCATCTTCTTCTCCAGGTTCCTGCCCAGGGGTCGTCTCATCAGCAGCCAAGGTATGCCCTATCCCACATCATGCTGCTTTCCCCCAAGCCTCTCTTACCTTTCTGACCCCCCCTCTGCTTTGCCAGCCCAAATTCTCTCCTTACAGGGAGTAACTGCAAACTACTTTCCTGCAAAATCCCCCCCAATCATCTGGGCTTTATACAAGCTCCTCCTGCTCCTGCCCAGCTGAGTCTTGTCTCTAATTCAGTGGTTCCCAAACTGGAGTTCGTGAACCCCTGGGGGTTCGCGAAATGTTACAGGGGGTTCTCAGGAAAAAATTCCCTAATGGCGGACATAGCTGTCCCTAGGGATCCCAGGCAGCACAGGGCCAGTAGCCCGAAGCCCCTGGACTTCCAAGAGCTAAGCAGATCAAAGCAAGCATATCTATCATACTGAGGAGATTAAAACTTCAAGACTCTTTATAAGAAATGGAAAGGGAGGTGGATATTTTTTGTTGTTTTTAAAATTAAATAGGCAGCTAGTATTGTTTTTAAAATTATTATGAAGAACAAGTTTAGGCTTTGTTGTAACGTGCGTTGTTTGCCTGGACTCCTCAAGACCTGAATGCTTGTGTAGGAGGAACTCTTTGAGTTGGCTTCTTAAATACCTTCATGCTGTTTCACATCTGATACTCCTTGATGAAACATAGGAGCCTTGTTTTATAACAGGCTCATTCAAAGTGACACAAGCTACGAAAGTGAGATCTTTGAAGTGTTGCCGTTTTCATAATGTAATAAAAATACTGCAATGATAAATAATAATAATAAATAATGTGTAATAATCATGTCATAAAACAAATTTTATATTTCCAAGATCACTGCTTTTATATTTTATACTCAAGTAAAGGAGAAAATCCCTGGAAATATTCATTTTTTTAGGAGGGGGTTCACGAGACTTGACATTTTAGTGAAAGGGGTTCACAAGTAGTTAAAGTTTGGGAACCACTGCTCTAATTAATCCCTGCTGCCTGGCTCCTCCTCCAGGTGCAGCCTAGGCAGTTAATTGGCCTACCTGGTCACCTTAACCCCTTCAGGCCTTGTGTGGGGTGGACACACCCCTTGCTGACTCCTCGAAAGCAATGGAAAAAAATATTTCCATTGATAACAATCAACATTTACAGATAAGCAGAATTTCTTACTTTGTCTAAGAACTTAAAGTTTGATTTAAGGATATTTATTTTGTATATTTTGACAATTTGTGTTTTAATGGTTAGAAAGCTTTAACTTTTTGAATGTCAGTGTATACCATCATTAAATAATTAGTCTGACCCCTCCATTGTCTGACATCCCCCATAATTTTGTGCAACTGAAAATTTAGAATAAAATATTTTAAAATGCTTTAAAACATTGATATTGTCCATCAACATTATAAAAAAGCAAACACAAAATTCAGCCAACCTTAACTATTTATGAGCCTTAATGATATTGCTTGCAACTCTAAGAAGGGATACCACATTGTGACAGATAAAATACAAAATAAAGATGTGTTACTTGTATTAGCACAATATTTTACACAGTATTTATGTTTAGCCCCAGCTCCTTCTATAGACAGACGTACAAAACCCTCACTGGATCGTCCTGGGCCAACGTTTGAAAGAGACAGCCCAGCAGCAGGTCAGTATCTGTTCATGCTAAGTTCATTTTGCACCAGAAAAGGTATCAAAGCCAGGCCTGGCAAGCCTCCACTATTTCACAGAACTTATAATGAATTATCTAAGGGTTTTTTTTTTTAAGTGTTGTTTTTTATTCTTTTCAGGGAAGAGGGCAGTGTTTCCTGACAAGGTAAGAGTCCATTTGGCTGGATCTTATTGTACCTGGATCTATTTTAAAACATACTTATATGTTCTTGTAACTTTTCCTTATGTTTTACAGCCCATGGCACCACAACTAAGGTAAGACATTAGCCTCTGGGTGACATACTCTATCAGTGTTACCAAATTATATTGCAGTAAAGAGCATTTGACCTTTGCTGCACCATCTCTCTCTTGTATTTTAGATCTCTGGGAGAACAATTAGCAAAGATACAAAAGCCTCCCATACCACCAGCCGATAAACATGAAAGAGGCAATACAGTCCCTGGAAGGAAGCCACCACCCGTAAAGTAAACATTTATTTTTAAATGTTAACACAACTATTTTTAACTATTTTCCACAACAATCTGGAAAACATAATTAGTCAATGTCGGTAGAGACACCACTACCTAAGAGTGTTGCAGTGATGCCCACTTTACTGTAATGTGAAAAAGCTCTGCCTTTTTAAGGGCCAAACACAAATACAGCAGGGCTTGCCTCATCCAAAAGGCCACAGTTAAGGCCCAAAGTATGGCTCACTTCAGCCAAGTTCTAGAAGGGAAAAGGAATGTTATCCATGATTCTCCCATCAGCTCAAGCCTTCTTCCTAGAAAGCTTTTTTTCTCATTATCCTGACTACCAAACTCAACCCTCACCTCCATATCCCTTTTATGATATGGTGGAGGGAGAAGGCTTTCATTTATTCCTTACAACTAGGCCAGCTCGGTCACCCTGCAAATCCCTGAATTCTTGGCAAAAAACTTCCTTTAGCAAGAGCTGGCCTTTCTTAGACAGCTTCTTGATAGAGCTGTACACCATATAAAAGAAACATACTATGAGGTCTGCTAACCAACCAGCAGTCAAAATACTAGGAAGGAGGCCAGATATCTTCATACAAGCCTGCCCTCAGCTACGACAGTGTGGCTAAGGGCTCCATGGCAACAACTAATATTTTCATCATTCAGTTGAAGTTTAAGGCCAGATATTCAAACTCCATTTCTGTGTGAGGAACACAGCAGGTGCACTATTTCACTTGAAATGTAGATCAATTAAGCCCCAACCATGCAATAAATTCCACACAGATGGACCCCTGAATCTCTGCAAAGCTCATTACAGGATCAGGGCTTGGACATCCAAGTACCTTCTTGTTGCTGCAAATCAAAAACTTATATCTAAATGAGCAAAAGAAATTGCTGGTTAAAACTGATACCCATATTTATTTTTGTCTGCAAAAACTGACATCAGCTTAAGTCTCAGCTGAAAACATGTCCCACTATACATATAGATAGAGTGTCATTCTTTCACACTTTCTACATCTAAAATTCACATTTGGTTTCTTCACCTACTTCATTTTAGGCAAGGCTGGGCACCAGAAAGAAGATATGATGTAAGTATATTTCAGAGCAAACACTATTTTACAGTTAGAAGATTTTAAAGTATGTGTTACAATAGAATTATAAAACTTGCTGGTAAGCTGGGAGTTCTGTTTAACATGGACTGGTTCCTTTAAATACTCATGCAGTAGAACCTCAAAGTTACGAACACCAGAGTTACAAACTGATCAATCAACCACACACATCTCATTTGGAATTGGAAGTACTCAATCAGTTGGCAGAGACAAAAAAAGCAAATATTGTACAGTTTATTACTGTGTTAAATGTAAACTACTAAAAAATAAAGGGAAAGTTTAAAAAAGATTTGACAAGGTAAGGAAACTGTTTCTATGCTTGTTTTATTTAAATGAAGGTGGTTAAAAGCAGCATTTTTCTTCTGCATAGTAAAGTTTCAAAGCTGTATTATGTCAATGTTCTGTTGTTAACTTTTGAAACAACAACCATAATGTTTTGTTCAGAGTTTCAAAATGTTCAGAGTTATGAACAACTCTCCATTCTTGAGCTATTCATAACTGAGGTTCTCCTGTAGTTCCTTCTTAGCACAGAGCTTCACTTTCAATCAGTTTCCTCCATACAAATTTGCTCCAGGACAGTTTAATCCCTGGATATGTTATTTTAGATATTAGAGGCATTATAAAGAAAAGGCAGAGTCAAGGCCCAGATTTTTATTTTTTAAGTTACTAGTGATTTTGTATACCCCAGTTTTGGGCTCTCCGACTTGATATATCTTAAAGGAACCTGATTTTCAGAGAGTGCTGAACATCTGCTCTGGAAACTATGACAATTTACCTCAGCTGAAGTTCTGCCCCCTGACCTCTTTAAGCTGTTTCAAATTAGGCACCCAAAAATTGACGCACCTAAATCATTACTCACTTTTGAAAATCTAGACCTGTGATTTCCTTGCCTCAGTTCCACAATTAAAAATTAATTTGGTGTTTCACAAAGACAAATATATCAATGTATTAGGTAAATGTAGGCATCCCATCTTGAATTACCTGCATACTCAAAAATCACTGACTTTTCTATTGTAGCTTTTGTAAAGAGATAATTTTTACGAGTTATGATATTATAAACCTCTCAATGTTCATTGTTGTTTTTTCCCCTCTCTCCCCAGGAAGATGATGAGTGTAAGTACTTAAAAACTTCTTTTACATTCTCTCTCTGTTAAAAAGCTCAAATGAAACACTGAGAAGATCTATTTATAGTTACTACTATAAAATAAAAAAGGTAACACTGCATAACTTGACAGATTGTTGAAATCTTCAAAAATCTCATACAAACTTAAGTAATGAAGCCACAAAAAACAGGAAGTTGGAGCATATCAGCAATTTTATAACCATGAACTTAGTATATATCTGTACAGTTATTTCCATTGAGCACCTAAAAAGCAGGAATGAAAACCTAGTGACCTCTTGATCTACTATAAGATAATTGGCCAAACCCTGCTTGCATTCTTCCAACATATAGTGCTATCAACTTCATGTGAGGATAGTCCTAATGACTCGTGAGCAAAGAGAATAGTATTTGGCTCAAATAATAATAACAGCATGTATAAGTTACCCCACCTCACAGTCCCTGAGATGCTATATAATGCTTTATAACAAAAATAATGGATATGAACCAAAGCTGCAAAATTCACTTTTTGCTTTTCAACATGCCAAAGTCTAAGGTTGACTATATCAGAGTTTTGGTTCATCCCATTAAAAATTGAGGCCATTTACACAATTCTGATCTGAATTCACATTCTGAACCTCCACCCCTATTGCCAGTTCAACTCAGGCTGAGAGTAATGCCAAAGGAGAGCAAGTTTCTCATGCTATGGATCTTTGGCGTGGTGGCCCAATTGTCTGCTGACCTATACAATGAAGATGGCGTCAGAAGACAAATCCCTGAGGAGGAGTATGCGCAATAAAGAAGTCTCAAATCCAATGGTCAGCAATGCCATGGCAGAGAAAGCTGACTAGGGGACTTTGTCTTTAATTTTAATGTTATATTTTAGTTAATGGGGTTTCTAAAGCTGGACTGTAGCTTATTTAATGTTTCAGAAGCAAACAGGATTAATAAAACTGGAAATTTTCTACTGAATTTTCCACCTCTAAAATGAATACACAAGAATAAACCAGCTTCCATCAATAAGTTTATATTCCAAGACCCAGTACATTGTTCTGAAGGGCATTTTAATGACAGCTTGCTCCATTGCTTGTATCTGATTAGACGGCCCTCTGCAGTGTGATAGTATTAGTTCACTTCACCCCTCTTTACAAGCTGCTTTTACGAGAACCCATGGTAACCTCATGCTAATATTTTTAGCTAGCTCTACTTTTCCTCTTCACAGCAATCCCCCAGAGACCGGCACCACAGCTATCTTTGCCCCCCTTCAGTTCCAACACATTCCCTTCAAGGTCTGTCAAGCCACCACCTAAACACAGTCCTTCAGGATCCAACAGTATGCCTGGATCATATGCAGAAAGGTTTGTTGCACTAGTTATTGTCTCACTTATTTTGATCTATTACTTTTTAAGGAATAAGAGTGTATATGGTGCTGTACAAGACCCAAAAGAACACATGATTACTACCCAAGGAGCTTAATATCTACAGGCCAGATCCTTAGCTCCCCTCTGCTTGCTTTGGGCTGTTTCCACCGTTTTTGGGGAATCCCCCAATGCTGTAAAGCCATCATACTCAAGACCTTAAGTCTCTATATAATCCAAATATACAGACAATACACATCAGATACACTAGGATACTCTCTTAGTTCTACATTAAGAGAGGACTACATTAGGACCTCTTTGGTATGAACTACAATTAGGCTCTAATTTTGGCTCCTTCAATTTTTGAGTGCCCCACTAAAGGCATTTATCTATTTCTCCCATTCTTTGTCTGCCTTATCTATTGAGATTGTAAACTCTTTTGAGGGCAGAGACTGTCTTATTATACATCTGTACAGTGCCTATCTCATTGGGGTCCTGATCCCAGAAGGGGGATTCTAGGCATTACTATAGCACTTGCAGTTCCCATTGACTTCAACTGGAATTGTGGGTACTCAGTCCCTGTTTAAAAAAAAGTCAGACTTTAGGTGTCTACAGTTGGACATCCAAAGTTTGATGCCTCTTCTTAAAAGAAGAGCCTGAGACACTATGGTAATATACATTTTAGTCAGAGCCTTTTTTGCAGTACATCCAAAGAGAAATTCATTTGGACACTGGAAAAGAGGAGCCCTTGGCAGTGGGTTCTTAGTGAGGTGAAACTTTTCGGGGAAAAAGAGATAACATCTGATAAACTCATTGTTGCCTTTGGCTGCTGTTATTTTGGGACTGCCAAGAGAGCTGGTTTCAATTATAGAAATTTCTAACAGGAAGCTGAAAAGGCCTTTATAGAGCTTATAAAGAGGGGCTGAATAGTTCAGCAAGAGCAGAACAAACAAACTAAGTATAGATGAGGCTAGAAGTGTGAACTCAGTCACTGACACAGCTCTTCTCAAGTTTTTGCACCTCCTGGAACTTGAATGTTTGAGTGATGCTTATTCTTCAGCCAAGGGGGGCGGGGGGAGAAAACACAGAAGGGGGGAAGTTTGGGGGAAATTCCAGAATGAGTAACAGCTTGTAATTTTGCTTCATATACTCCCCTTTGAGGAAAGGGCTTGGGAGGGGGTCATGGGCTGGAAACCCAACAGAGATATAGATTCTAGAGGGAAATTAGGTTCCAATTGTACTGATCCTGAAATGGTCCCTATAGGAGTAGTAGTACCATGGACTGTCCCCTGCCCCTCTGCACCTTATCTCCAAGTGCCAGGCCTCAAGGAGAGTTAATACTGACCTTAATTACCATGTGAATTTTCATACGGGGCAGACTAGGATGTCTTTATCTGCCATGGGTGCTAAAAAGAAAGGAGAATGGAACCCTTTGGGGACATGCACTATGTATGCTTCCATCTTTGTACCGCCATGTAGCACAAAGGGGCCCAGGTATGGATCTGTGCCTCTGGGAGCTGCCACAGTATAAAACATTAAATAATATAATTATAGCAACATACCCTATGTGTGTTAAACTTCAATTTCATTGATTTCTTTAACAGTACTAACAGCCTTTCTTCAAGTGGATCACTACCACCACGCTTTCAGCTAGGTTTGTATTCTGTGAGCCTGTATTTCTACTCCAAATGTAATGAAGTCTTATGGTTGCAGCACATGATATCTGTCATGGACGTTCAGCTTCTGAATTTAATAGCAATAAAAAACTATCTAGTACAGTGCTTAAAGTGGGTGGGTGGGAGGCGCATACCCACCCCACCAGGAGTAAAGAATGCATTTTATTTGCATATTAGATGCTCTAGTCTGTCTCCTTACTCCTGCAGCAGCACCACCACAAGGGTCTCTGGAGGGAACACTTTAAGCATCGTTTTACCAGAACTGCTACTCCCAGATTACGATAGACCCCTAACTTTTTCAGATCACTTTAAGCATTGGTTAGTTAACTTCTTTAGTTCATTTAGTCTATGTTTAAGGTGGTTTTTTTTTCCTTGTTAAATTTTGGCATTGCTGTCTATTTAGTTAAGGCACCGACAAAATTTGATATAAGTGTTTACTTCACTAGAGCTACAATTTAAAAGCACTAGTCTCAGATTACTATCCATTGACTACATTCATTCTGAAGATCCCATGTGATTATATCATTCCAATAATGATGTGTGTGATGGTAGGGAAAAGCAATGAATGTTTCAGATCTGAATAATACTACACCAATACCTTGGCTGGTATGAAAAACATTTCCAAGGTGAAATAAAGTTTGTCTCAGCTACATATTTAATTGGCAAAAATACTGTAATTAAAAATAAACAACATTGAAAATCATAATCTCTTGGCATAACATTCAACAATGTTCAACACTGGTAGCTGTTACCATTTAAACTGTTCAAGGTTTCCACAAAGAGAGAAAAAAAAAAAGGAGCAATTTTTTTCTCTCTCCAATACAATTTTATAAACTTCTAGCAGGGCGACCTTGTGGTTTGTAACTTAGAAGTTCAGGTTAGCTGTAATTAGGGTAACTGAAGATACTGTCATAATTAAATAATTGAGATACAGTTCATCATCTGTAATTCCTATTTCAAATACAGTTGCCTTTGAGGCATCCATAGCTACTGAAGTTCCTTTAAAATCCATGGGAGTGACCCTCATGTATACCGAGGATGAATTTGTCCCATTACATAAAGAAATCTAGGTCAGATTCTCAATTACACTGAGTGTGAGTATAATTTTCACCCACTTTAAGGCCCCTTATGCTGCCTGAGTGGTATAAAGAGGCCTTGGTATGACTGAGAATCAAAGTCCTAAACGACACTCTAATAACTGCTGCATAGACTAAGTTTTATCTTTCTGTTTTTAATTTAAATTTATTCTGGAACTTTAAAGGTAACATCAATAGAGCTCCTTCAAAAGGCCCAGCAGATGGCAGACCTCCATTACCAATTCCTAACAGGCAGATTGTGCAGCCACCAAGCATGGAGGAAGACGAGGTATAATAATGTGACTCAGAGGTGGGAGTGGTATATGGGGTCAAGTGCCCCCTCCCCAGATTTTGCTTGGCCTGTGGTGGGAAAGGAAGAGGGGCTCCCTTCTCCTGTTGTACCTGCCCCGCGACATGCTCGGCCCCTGTCCCTCAGAGCCGGTCCAGGCCAGGAGCAGAAGAGGCGGGACCAGCCACTTCTCACACTGGCCACTCAGGGTCTCATTGCTCTGTGCAGTGTGGCTGACTGAGAGAAAGCCCCTCTCCCCACAGCCCATTTCTGGCTCACTCAGCCCGTCCCCCAGCGCTGAGCCTGGGCAGGGAGCGACCCACCACTGCCACCACTTCCCAGATGGGCTGTCTCTCAGGCAGTTGCTGTGCTGCACACAGCAGTGACCCGTAGCGACTGGCTTCAGCCACATGAGAAGCAGCTCCATCCTGCTCCTCACCTGGGCCTGGTTGCCAAGGAGAGCAGTCGAACATGCCTGGGGGAAGGCATAGCGGGAGAAGGACAGAGCACCCTCCCCCGCTCCCAGTCAGGTAATTCTGGTGGAACAGGGAGAACAGGACAGGGGGGCTCGCTGGCCAGAGGAGACATGTGGGGCAGTCACATGTCATCCCCTTTAGACTGTGGCCCCCAATATGGGGAGGCATGAATCGTCTATGATGTCACAGACATTAATCCTAATCACTTTGCACAGCAAATCAACTAAACATGAGACAATTTTTTTCCTAAATTGGTTTTCTAGTCAGCAGTTATTCTTTGGTATACACTCTTGCATTTGCTGTTGGTTTCCCTTGTGATGTCCAACCTTTGTTCCTTACTTGGTCTTCACCAAGCAAAAGAGGAGTGAAAATACAGCAAAACATGTACAGTGAAACAGTCAGAAGGTACAGTGAAGTTTACTAGACCACTTTCTATCTTGCAAAGCTGCCCTGAAGTACCCTCAGATGTTTTGGACTCAATTCTCCTCTCAAATAAACCAACCTAAAATGGGTGAGAAAAGAAAATTCGGTCTCTGAGTACAGTTCTACTCCATATTTCTTTGAAGACCACCTCCACTTAGCACCTAATTTTTGCTAATGCATTGAATAGTCATGTAAGACAGGTTTGTGTGTGCGTGTGTTTAGTGCTTGAGAGCCCACAGCAAGCCACAATTCTAGACTCAGCTGATGGTAAAAATAGGAGAGACCTAAGATGTCTGTGACTCATCTGGACATAAAGAAATGTCACAGGAAATAGAATGTTTACCAAAACCCTAGAGTCCTCACTTCTCTGGTTTGCAAGGTGGCAGCATGTGCAAACACCTTCAGAGAGTATTGGAATCATTAAATCAACTTAACAAGGTCAGAACTAAAAATGCTCATCCCTGCATCTGGAAATACACTACTTCCCTCTCCCCTCCCCCATTTAAATTCTTCTCTACTTCTGTGCATGTATGTTTATAACATCACATAAATTAATTCACTGACAGCCAACTTTCTCCTCTTTCCCCCCCCAAAAAATAAAACAAAAGTTTCAGGATTCACTGAATGAAGAGTGGTATGTTGCAGACATCAGCCGGCAGGAAGCAGAAGCAGCTCTTAGGAATATAAATAAGGTACAGTGTTAGCAGTTACCCTTAAATGGATATAGAAATTCTTGGCACATTGTTTAAATGGTTTGTGTCCTGATATATGTCTTTGCATTCATATAGAAAAAGTGAATGAACACAACTTTTACATAAAGAGATTCTAGTCCAGATTTTCTCCAGGCCACTATCAATGTGCCTGCAAAATGTCATGGCACATCCTATATGTGTGTGTGGCGGGGGAGAGGTAGTGGTGGTGCGCGCGCGCACACACACACACACACACACACACAAAAAGGTACTTACACAGTCTGATTAAGCATACAGTGTTCAGATTGGCAGTGCAGTACCAGAGGGCTATTAAAAACTTGGATCAATATAGAAGAGACTAAGCACAAATAGGCACCTTTCTTAAACTATTCTAAAAACACAGTTCACACATACCAAAGTCTGAACTTCTTGGGGTGCGGCTTATTACAAAGAATACAACAAAAAACAACACAGATCAGCTCAGATCCAGGCTCAGCTGATCCCTAAGGATTATTAAGCCCATATTCTAGATCAGTGGTGGGCAACCTGTGGGCTGCAAGCGGCCCGTCAGGCTAATCCGCTGGCGGGCTGCGAGACACTTTGTTTACATTGACCGCCTGCAGGCACAGCCGCCTGCAGCTCCCAGTGGCTGCGGTTCAACGTTCCCGGCCAATGGGAGCTGCAGGAAACAGCACAGACCATGGGGACCATAGTAGTAATATAACTTGTATATATAAGATGGAGTAATGAGGGGAGAGCTTCACATGGTAGGGAGCTCAATAGAAACTTTTGTCTCCAGGAGGCAAGATCATCTATTTAAGAAACTTGCATCCCTCTAGCTAATCCACTTTTCCTAAAGATATTTTAAACCAGCACTCACTGGGAGGGGCATATTTCATTTCCCCATTTCCCTCCCAGTCACTCTGATAGAGTAGGCCCCAATTCCCCTTATGCAGCAGGCTAGAACATTCCAAGATTGTCTAAACCTCTAAGTGTAGCAGACTGCATGCATCCCTTTCAGCTGTGTACAAAAGTCCCCAAAACACCAATGGGTTTCACCTTTTGGGCTGAAATCCTGGTCTCTCTGAAGTCAATGGAAGTTTTGCCAGTGACTTCGCTAAGGCCAGAATTTCACCCATAACATTTTGCTAAGTGTCCCAAAATTAGAGAATTTTTTCTCTCTAAAATTACTATTACTGCATCTGAACTAGCCTTTTGAAATGGGACATTTCAGATAGCAGATTGCAAGGCTTTGTTTGTGTTTTGCTTCTTCCTTTAACAAAGTCTAACAAGTTCTTCAAAGCTGTGGTTGCAATTGTGCTCTTTCTGAAAAATTAGAACCCAGAATGAATGTGTATTTAGAAACAAACTCAGCATTCTACTCACGTGGTTGGTCAAAAATAGATTTTATTTTCATGTGCATTCTTTTAGGACGGGACATTCTTGGTGAGAGACAGCTCAAGAAAAACTAATACACATCCATATGTACTGATGGTATTATACAAAGATAAAGTATATAATATTCAGATTCGTTACCAGGAGCAAAATCAAGTTTACTTGTTGGGAACTGGCCTGAAAGGAAAAGAGGTAAAGTATGTTTCTTTCTTTGCATCACCTCCTCCCCCTTTACCAGTCTCCAGCAGTTTTACCAAGAAGAATGTCACTTAGTTCACTAAAGCTATTCCAGATACAAACTGGTGTAGTGAAGAGCAGAATCAGGCCCAGTGACTCAAATTCAAGAAAAACTGATTGCCTTATAATACCTCACAACTTCATTGGGTGGGTAAAATTTTGGACAAGAATGTTCCATGGAGATATCCAAGATGGGAAGACCAGTACTGGAAGCAAATGCTGATTCAGTGGTAGATGACCTCACAGTCTATTCCAGTACAGCAATTCATCCAAAACTTAGTCACAAGAGAGCATGAAATAGTCACAGTCTAAATAAATACTATCGCTTTACCCTGAGAAGTAGTGAGAATCCCGACGACACCCGCCTCCCACCGCCTTTGTTTTTAATCCACAGGATTTTTCTTCAGTGGCAGATATTATTGATTACTTTCAAAGAACACCCCTTCTGCTGATTGATGGAAAAGACCGAGGTTCAAGAAACCAATGCAAGTTAACATATGCTGCAGGATCTACTTAGAAGAAAGCTTAATGTCTGGGATCAACGGTCTACAAGAGCATACAAACCTCATGATATTTCCATTTGTATTCAGTGAACTGAAATTATGAATTCATTTTTTTTATTTTAATGAAAAAATATAATTCTCTCATTTTAAAGTGTGTTTTTAAAAAACAGATTTGCAAAATACTTTCTACAATGTATTTATTACTCTCCATTGTTCATACACTGCATGAAAATCTTCATGTGAGTGACGTCATTTTCCAACATCCATCTCGCATGTGAAGTGTTCTACATTCCATATTATAGGATTACATGTAGTTTACATAGCAGAGAATTACGTTGCTTTCTTATAAAGCAAAACTATGCAAACTATTGTTGATGTCAAGTTTATGGTACCAATTACATTAAGCTGCAAACTGAAATCAATTAATATCTGTATAATGCTTGTACAGTACAGAGTAACTTCTAGTGACTGTTATCCGTATTGAAAGATTGTATTGTTTACTTTGATATATTTTATGTAAGTTGATAGAAAATTAGAAAAATCTTGTGTAAATTGAGTCAATAAAAATGCCATATGTCACAGTCCACTTTTCAGTAGAGACCTGCACTTTCTGGCTACATTTATTATAATGGTAGGAACTATGTGACTTGTTAATTTAATGGTCTATACCAGGCCTGCACAACATGCGGCCCGGGGGCCGCGTGCGGCCCGCGTGGGCTCACTGTGCGGCCCACGGGGGGTGAGTAGGTGGGCTCACTGTGCGGCCCGCGGGGGGTGAGTAGGCAAGCTGGAGGGGTGGGGGGCTGAGGAGACGAGCGGGCGGGCAGTGGCGGGGGGGGGCAGGTGAGCCGGCGGTGGGGAAGGGGGGCTGAGTGGGTGAGCCGGGGCGGTGGGGGGCTGAGGAGGCGAGCGGCGAGTCGGTGGCTGACCTGTTCTACTGATCTGGTCTGGCTCCCATCCCCTCTCCAAGGGTTGCAGCTGTCTGGAGGTGCTGCCTTCCATGCCTTCTTCATTCATACCTCATTCATTCAACAGGGCAATTGATTACAAAGTGGGGGGAAGATCTTATTTTACTTCTAGCAAAAAGACATTTTTCTTTTACCTTGATTATACTACCTTAGGGGCCAGCTATAACATATTACCAAGGTTCAATACTGCTGTTTCAGCAGGGTGACGCTGGGGAAGGAGGGTTTTTTTACATGGGGCAGGCAGCGCTGGGGGGGGGGTTCTTTTGGGGGGGGCTGGGCGGCGCTGGGGGGGTGTTTCGGCAGCGCTGGGGGGGGTTGTTTCTGTGGGGCGGGCGGCGCTGGGAGGGGGTGTTGTGTTTCGGGGGGTGGCTGGGTGGTGCTGGGGGCGGTTCGGTGGCGCTGCGGGGGGGTTCGGCGGGGCCGGGGGGTTTCGGCCCTCAGCTGTTTTCTTTGGAGTAATATGTCCCTCGCCACTTTACGAGTTGTGCAGGCCTGGTCTATACGGTATATGTTCCCTCTTCTACATCATCTAGAGACAACTTCCATTCCCAAATCTGTCCCTGTATATATTGGGTCCCAACAACGCATAACCTTGCACCCACTCCTTTCTGCAAAGAACAGGCTCTGAAAACGGCAGTGTAATTGGGTCTCACCTCATCTGGCGATAGACCCTGTCTCTATCTCAGTTTCCCTACTCTCAGAGTTCTCAAAAACTGTTCCTGAGTTTTGTGCATATCAAATAAACACCCCTCCCAGGATCCAGTACATGAAAACAGCTCAACAAACAAAGACAGACATCCAACGCCTAGCATCAGGTCTTACCCTGTTTGATCGGGGAGTGAGATCACATGGCTCAGCCACCAATTGTACTCTCTTGATGCAGGTCAAGAGAAAATGAACTTCTTCTGACCATCAGTAGGAGCCACAGGCTGGACCCCTAAACAAGTGCAAATGGCATCTCCCTTCAAATACCCACCTGCACTGGCCTGTCCAGACTACTTTCTTCTAGGATTACCCTTCCTCAGAACCTCCTAATTCCCTCTTCAGGAATTTTGCTCCTGTTCTTCAGTGCAGGTAGCTCCAGTAAGGCCTTTATCTTTAGCTGGTGCGGCAGACCCAGACCCAGGTTCCTCTGCTGTTAGGTACCCTTTAAGAACCTGCTTCCTGGAGGTCTGTCTCCTTCCATCCTGAGAAGACTCACTTTTATATAAAGTACAACCCCTGGCTACCATCATGTCATGTTTAGTCACCTGACCAAGCCACAGGCTTACACTCAAACTCATTACCCAGGAAGCAGATAACTAAGCAGGGTGGGGCTGATAGGCCTGGGATAGGTGCCTATTCCACATTCTTCATGAAACACTGGCATTTTCTGTCTTAAAATATAAACTGTAATTCAGAATCAGTTAAAAATATGAGGCCCCAGACTGACTTAATAAGGAACAGGAGTGGCCCCATTGTTTGCCTAAGATCTTTATTTAATTCCATTTTCTGGCATGTGTGTGGTTTGAGTCTTCCATCTAAGTTTGTCAGCCTTACCCCTCCGTTAGTATCTTGTAGCTGGCTGCATTAGGGGGTCATTACAGGCAGAGGAATGGCTTTCAAGAAGTCACCTGCTATTTTACTCATAGCTATAGGTTTGTAGTGAGGAAGACAGTGGGGCAAATTGAGGGTCATGCCATTTTCTTCCCTCCCAGTGCTGTTTTCTTGCCCTTGAGCTCATCTGGGTTTCTCACCACCTTTCCCAGTTGGGAAACAATGATCTAGCTGGTAGTAAATACTTATAATTGTTACCAATTGGTCTTGATTCAGATCAGTTAACTTGACATGAAAGATGTTATATCCCATAAACAATTTCCTGAGCCATCTAGTTTCCCGTGTCACTGTTCTCAGCAACCTCAGCTGTTTAATAAAAAGGGGCATTTTGGAAAATGTATAGACTATGGACCAATTATTTGCCTTTTTATTATTTTAGTTGTTTCTGAGTTATTCAAATATTTGTTTTTCACATATTGAAACATTCTTCAGATACTACTTTTCATACTCTGATAACACAAAATGTCATATTATAAAAATTTCAACCAGAGCAGAAACCCATATTGAAATTTTAATGGCTCAAAGAGAAGAATTGTTAATGGAAGCATCAGCATGGAACCTGATGGAATTATGTAATTCCTCAAAATCTGTTTTCTTTTCTTCTACCTCCCTTGAAACTGTGGTCTTCACAGGATGACTGAAGTTCAAAGTAAGGTCACAGAGCAGCAGTTGGCTTTTCACTGTTAGAAAAAGTACAGTATATAATCATGAACATTTACTGTATAATAGGTATTATATGAGTGGCAATTTACTGTAGAGGTTTGGGTTTTTTTTAATGTAGAGTATTCTACATTTAACTCTTCTGTAAATTAAAAGGATGATAGCATTTCTCCAATGCATTTAAATACAATTTGCTATAGTGTATTACTATATATCTTTTGTTAGGAAGCTATGATATGTACTTTCTGAAGAAATTAATTGTTATCTAGCAGGACTTTTCCATGTTTGATTAATATGATCCTATTTTTTGTACAGTAAGTATGATTTTATTAATTTTTCACCATAAGGGGACAAATTCTTGTTTCATTATATAGAAGGAACAACATAATCACAAAATCTGCACGAGTTCATTAGCAGCTGTGAAATGTACTCAGAGCTAAATAAAAGGTAGAACAAATTGTTTATCATAAGTAGATAGATATATTTCAAGGGACCACTCAAGGTGAAGTGGCCCATTAACAATCCACCAGTCATGGGAGGGAAAGGAAGAGGGGGAGGCAACTGGGGTGGGGGCGCTGTTAGTGGGTTACAGATTGTTATAAAAAGCCACAATTCCAGAGTCTCTATTCAGTTCATGAGTTTTAGTATCTAGCAAAGACTGAATAGAGACACTGGATATAACAATCCATAACCCCTCCCCAGCTCCTT